GTCGAGGGATTCAGGATTTCAGCTGAGCAAGTGGTGCGGAAAGCAAAACGTTCCTCTACGCAGCTCCCTCTGCAAACCATTAGGAAGGTTTCTACCTCCCCAAGGCCTTCTCTTGCTCTCCTGCATCCTGCGTGACCCTGCCTGCTTCCTCCATGCCCTCCCCTGGCCGAGGGTCCGTGCTGAGGCTGATGTGAGCAGGCAGTGTGCGTGATGGGGGTGGAGCTGGGGGTGCTGGGGAAGGGGCTGAGAGAAAGCCCCTCCTGCGTGGCCTTCTGCATGGCTGATGTGACCCGATTGCACGTCCTTCCCCTCTCACTAATTCCATCACGCCCTTCACTTTGTGTTAGGGATGCACACGTAATGCCCGAGAGATTCATAATTTGGCCTCAGTCTCCATTGCGCCCGCATGACTCTGCGGGTATGGAGGAAATCTGAGCATTTTAATGTGTTTAAGGGTCATTGGGTTTTTTTATAATAGCACAGGGACCTCCTTGGAGGGATGCTCTGGTTCCTCACGCCACAAATCTCTCATAGGTTGGGCTCCTCCAGGGCCACAGGCACCACAAAGCCATATTCCATGCACGAAGATCAAACTGTGCTGCATGCATATCCTATTACCCACACCAGAGCACTGGGGTCAGCAGCCTTTCCTCCTTGTTGGAGGAGTTGTCCTCACCTCGTCACATGAAAAACAATAATAGAGGCAGAAAATACTATTCCAAATGATGGAGAAGCCCATGGGGAAATTAACACACTTTTTTTTTTTGCTTTTCAGGTTTCAGTTATACAGAAAAGTCTATAAAGTGGTGACATTTTTAACCATTTTTGCTCATTGCTTTGAACTTCCCAGCCTTGTATTCGGAGGCACCGAGGCCCAGAAGGGCCAGAAGATGTAGTTTAATGAGACAAGTTTTAAAGGTCACTCTGTGTAATAAATCTGTGCTTTTTAATATTTAAACTTTTAAGGCATTTAAACCTTTAGGCTCCTGGGATTTGCTCTACCAGATCCAACCAGATCCATCAAGCCCAGAAAGCCCCTCGCCTCTGGGACTATCCAATTTCTTATGCTTGAGATAAAGAGGGTCTCTTTATCCAAGTCCATTCATCTGTCATAACTCAGGTGCCTTTATATCCTATAAATCAGCCTGGAATGCTGGACAAAGTGTTGAAGAACGTTATTCAAGGCCAAGCTTGAGGAGTTCCATCCCACCCTTGCTGGAAGACAGCTGAGAAAGGGGACTCAGCAACAGAAAAATGTGATGTCTCCCAAATCCCTGCCCAAAACCCCTTCTCTAGGCTTTGGCCAAGCTGTTCTGACTCAGATTTAGAGGTAGATGGATTAAAGGTAGAAAATCTGCCAATTTTAAAGCTTGGAAGCAAAGGTAGGGGTTTGCCTTCAAAGCATCTCACCTATGATTTGGACCAGATACGTTTAGGTGAACTCACACCCCAGTAGCACTTTGAATGCCTCCAGTTGAGCTCCCCCTGCCTGGTGACAGCTGCAGGCTCCTCTCTAGCACAATGTCAGAACCGATGCTGTTAGCACCCAATTGCTTTTCCATCGGAAAGCATTAAGGATGCTCTTGCCTTGCAGACTGCTAATGCACTAACACACTCTGAAATGCTCAGTTGACTGGCAGTTTTCCTTATTGATATTGCAGTAAAAATTAGATATTATTAAATTGAATCATTGTCTCATAATCAGGCTCTGAGCAGGGATGTGGGCCAGAAGCACGGGGGATGGTCAGGAGGCACATTGCAGTTGGGTTTGCAAACTGTGCTTCCAGGAGCTATGTTACAAAAAGGGAATTAGAGAGTAATTTTTCTTTCCCAAAATCAAGATGCAGAATGTTTCCAGAGGTCCTCCAGTGCCTCAAAACCCAGCAGTGAAATTTAAATCTGGGAGAGCCCCAGCTTTCACTGCAGAATGGGGAAACTGATGCGGTACACTCACTGCATCACATGGTGAGCAGATTTCTTCATTTTCCATCTGTATGTTAATGTGGTCATTTGTACTTAGTTTGCATGGCTTGTGGCTGTGCAAGAACCTGGTTGGTATAACCCAAATCTGCTGTGGTCATTGATGGCTGCAACACCTCCTGTTCGCGGCCTGGGGATTTGGTGGATGGGGGAAGATGCAGAAACCTCCAAAAAATAACTTTTCAAATAAAAAGTAAGGAAATGTACAGCTTTCCAGAGAGGTAGACACATGTCCTGGGGTTGCTCAAGGGGAGATTTGCAGGAGATGGAAAGGAAGGCTAGGAAGGTGGGATGAGAGAAGACTTTGCTGTCTTCTGAAAAGTTTCTGTATATAACAAGAAATTGGCTCGCCTCTTGATTATTCCATCTCAGGCGCATTACACAAAGGCTCCTGATGCATTACAGCAGCTTTTTATTATTGCTCTCGTGATGGATGCGTTTTGCTGCGTGCAGGATCTCGTCCTCAGCCCAACATGAATTCCATTAGGAGGCCAGATGGGAAATGAGGTCTTTCAAGATGTAAATCCTTAAATAACTTTTTCTTTTCTTTTTTTTTTTCCTTCCTAAATTAGATGCCGGTGTTAAGCCATTTATTTGACTTCAATTCAGTGGTGAGCTCTGGCCCTGCTGGCCTCACTAATCTTTTAAGTTATCTGTATTTGAAGTAGGACCTTATCACTGCTTGTTCATCTTCTCCTCACTCCAAAGTCAGAATTATTTCCCCACGTTTGTAATTATGGCAACGTCATCAGTCGCCTGGAAACTCTACCCTAAAATATGCTTGTGCTTACACTGCAGCAACCTTGAAACACCTCCAGTGAAAGGCACTGAAATCTGCTTTTGGAGGTTGTCCCATCCGCATCTCCACGCACGTTCCAAGAAACTGGATTGAGGCAGGGATGCTAAGAGGCTTTGGGGGAAAAATGCACATTAACAGCATTGTTTGGGGTGGGAGCAAAGCCAACCGCCTGAAGGCAACTGCATCAAGAAAAAAAAATAAGTCGTTTACAATCTTACCCTGCTTTTGAGGTGAGGAAATTAGAAGTTCAGTGAAGGAAAGCATCGCTGGTTTGTGAATTTCAGGTGGGAAGAAAAGAGGAGAGGATGCTCGCTCCAAAGAGACGCGGCCTCACGTGGGCTGGATGTTGGCAAATGCACATAGCTTGTGGATTGCCATCTTAACCCTACAGAGTTAATTCCTGCTTGTCTTCCAAATAAACACAAAGGGTTTAAGTGCCTTGATTTTTCAGTTAGTCACATTTCTGATGGCTTTTGATCACCTCCCCCCATGCCACCCCAGCTGGAGAAGTGGTTCAGCTGAGCTCCACGTGGTGAGGCAGCACCCTAGGAATTTCCAGGTGGGAAAAGGGAATGGAAAGTGCTCACAGGGAGTGAAGAAGTTTGGAGAGTTCTGCAGCTCCCCAAGGGAATGATGCCCAACAAACTCAGTGTGCTAACTGGTGCCCCATTTGTCCCTGTCTCACCCAAGCCTAGTTGGTGGCACCAGAGAAGTATGAAGCAGCCAAACTGTGTCCCTCAAAATCATAAAATTCCAAATAGCTTCCCCTTGCAAGCAAGAAGCAGAGCAAGGACTCCCTTCTCCTGAGCTGTTTTTGGTTTGTTGCTTTTTTCCAAAAGAAAATTGATCATCAAGAAGTGTAACATCTGCTCCTCTGAGCTTCCCTACAAATTTCTGAGCCTCTCAAATCCACAGAAAGTGCCCTGGGTTTGCTCCTGGTGGGAGTTCTCAACCTTGCTGTGTTTGGCATGGGATGTACTGCTGTTTGCTGTGAAGTGAGCACAGAAATGATTTATCAAATGATCAATCTGTGTCTAATGCCCGGGAAGAAAATGTTGGGCTGGTTTAAGCTAGAGACCTAACCCTGGCAGCAAGAGGTGAGAAACCACCAAAAAAGAGGATTTTCCTAGGAAAGCACTCCTTGAAACTCTTTGAATATATCAGCTAGCCTTTATCCAGGCATCGGTGTCAATCTGAGCAAGAATATTTCTTCTGATCAACATCCTTCTCCTTGCCCCTGTCTTGCTTGAAGACCGTGCTTTTGATGCCATCCCTGTGCATCCTCAGCTCAGACAAGGCGTTTTCCAGATCAGGCACTGAGTTAAATGAAGATCGGCAAGAATAAGCTGCCTAACTTGAAAAACCTGCATTACCCCAATCTCTATTCATGAAAGCATTATGTTGAATTAACGTTGTTATAGAATTAGCCTCCTAAGAGGCTTGGAGATGTCACCTCCGTTCAGTTGCTATTATTTGTAGCCCACTTCATGTGGTGAATACAGTCATAAGGAGTGGTCTAGGTTGTCTAATCACCGAGTAATGTGCTGAAATTAGGAAAACACATGGGTTGGGTTTTTCTCATCTTTTTTCTTGACATTCAGGCCTAACTTTTCAAATCACTGAAAAGCAGAAAAAATCTTCCACTGCAAGACCAGCTTTGTCTTTTTCTTCCTTCTGCACTGCAGTCCCAAATCTCAGATCCACCCATGAAGGTACTGCCTCAGCTGGGGAGCAGCACACAGCAGGATGCTTCTCCTGCTTATAGGTGCAATTATGAAGATCCATCAACCTCACTTAGACTTTTATTTTGGGGGGAACACCAAGGTTTCCCAAATGTAAAATTTGGGAAAAGCACTGTGAAGGTCAACATAAGGCAAAAAGAGAGCTGGGAGGCAAGTTTGCCTTCTGTTCTTTCCTGCTGCTTCTTGGTGGCTTGGTTGAGGACAACCAACATTTGAAAGCATCTTTACACCAATGGAATCTATGGCATCTCCCCATCTCCTTGGGTCCTTTCTCCTGCATCCAACAGGCTCTCCTGGTTTTATCCTACTTTGAGGATGCTCAAAGGTGGATGAGTTTCATCCATTGAACAAAAGCTGGTGGGCACCCCGTGGCAATGTGACATCTGAAGACAGCAAGTGGAACAAACCAGTGAGGACAAGAGGGGGTCCTGCTTGGAGGCAGGTGGAGTCAGAAGGGCAAAGGTTGGGTTTGGCACACAGGGCTCACTCCATGGGTGCAATGGTGGCTCACCAGCCTCCCCTATCATGCTTCACTGCCTAACTCATTTAAAGGGAATTAAATAACGAAGAAAGAAACCCAGGAATTAATTGAGTCTTACGTTTTCTGAGTGCAAACAAGTTTGACGCTCAGCTCTCCACCTACCTCTGGAGTGCAGATGCCTGAGCACACATCATCTGTTCGCTCACCACAGTGGGGCCAAATAACCCAAATGATTCACCAGGAAGACTTAAAACTGGAGAGGTTAGCACTTCTTGCTAAAAATGCCTCCGCACAGGGCTTTCAGGTTGCTCATATGGAAAGAGAAGGGAGAGGAAAAGGATAATTTCTCTCAAACTCAATGTTGCAGGTGATTAGTGCACAATACACCCTGAGCAGCTTTAGTATTTAACATGGAGGTGATAGTGGGAATTTATGAGAGCTCGTGGACAATAACTGCTTTCCAGAGAGGCTTTGATTAAACATTATGGATCCACATTATGCAAATTTATTGCATGGTTAATACGACTCCAAAAGAACACAGTGGCACTTTAAAAAGCAGTTTAAAAAAAAATAGAGAGAGAGAGACAGAGACCATGGTGCTCCTCAGATCTGCAGAAAGACCTTCAGGATGGATCGACACTGGCAGAAAACTGATAGAGCAGCTGAAGTTCATGACATAAATGGGAATACAAGGAAGATAAGACAAATTCCTACGTGGATATTTCATCCTCATACTAGCATTAAGTCAGTGGCTACTTGTGGCCCATTACCCAGAACAGTTAGAATGATACGAGATGGAAATTTGATGCAGCTCCCAAATATTGTGTTCCTCCCAGGAGAGCTGCAGGAAAGGGCTTGCTTTGATTGTTTTCTTCTTTTCTACACTTTTGGATGTCATCTGTCAACATCTCCTACAAAATAACATGATTTATACCAGCAGGCTGATTGTACGGCTTTCATTAATTTAGATTTGCTCGTTCTTTAAAACTGCTATTGTGATAAGGCATACACTTATTTCCTTCTGGAAATCAAGGTTAACAAGAACACAGATCTCATCAGCATCTCTTTCTCAATCAAACAGCTAAAACACAGAAATAACATGAATCCTCTTTGGCTGCCTGGTGTTAAAAATGGATGTTTTGGTCAAAGACCACGATCTAGGAACTTCTGTAGGGCATCATTAGGAGGACCTCAACTTTGGGGAGGTTTATGAGCATCCCATCTTCTCCCATGCTCAGAGCAGCAAGGGGCGTAAAGAAAACTTCCCTGGTGTTAATCACAGCAGAGATCTCTTACCTCCTCCCAGATCCACCAAGCCCTTCCTTTTCAGCTATATATACTTTAAAGGATGTAACCCAGATAATAATCTCTGCTTGTAGATTATTCAAGGCTGCCTCCGTTTATTTCTCTGGAGGATACTTATGGCTGCTGCTGGCAAGAGGGCAAATTGGCAACGCATCAGATTTTTAATAAAAATAGAAGCAGAGGACACATAACAAGGCTCATTTAGGGCAGCAAGAAGGCAGGCAGTGAGCACAGACCCAGTGGGCAGAAGCATTAGGCACGGGCGGGCAGCCCTGGCATTACAGTCACTTCAGACTGGAGGGGAGAAATCCCTTCCTGGAAGATGCTGGTGGGGATTCGCGCAGTTGGACAAGGAGGCTTTTTCCTCTCATTTTCAAGCTATTGGCCAATGCAGCATGAGCCTGCCGGCACCGGGGCTGATAAGGAGAGGCAGCGAGTGCACTGCACTGATTTGGGGAGCAGGCACATCCAGTTGGAGTCCAACCCCTGCTGAGAAGGTGCTGGCAGTAGGAACCACTCCCAGCCTTCCATTCGGTGGTGCCAAGATTGCTACTTTCCATGACTCCCTGCTTGACTTCAAGATCTGTTTAAGTTTTGCTGCACTACCACTTGGTTTCCCTGTGCTTGCAGTGCTGCTCCACACCAAAATCCTCCAAACAGCAGCAGCAGGAGTTTGGTAGGAAAATAGATAAGGTGCCTGCAGGGGTAGCCCAGCAACCTTTCTTCATCCTGGGGTCATGAGAGTATCCTGCATGAGCTTCTGTGCCAGGGGATTTTAATGAGATGAATACCCTCAATGCCCAATGAACTGGATTTAATGCGTTTTTAATTGTCCAGGGTTGCATTTTTCTACAGGGGAGAAGAAAAATCAGAGCCATAAGAATGAGTTAATTGGAGCAGGGCAAAATTTCTGTGCTGTCGGGGACAGTTTTCAACAAGACTCTGCCCCAGATAAGAAAGGGAAGGCTGGCCAATGCCAGGTGTGCTTATTTCATAGAGAAAAAGGTGAAAATCGCTTATTCTCTGTCATCCCAGGCCTTGAGATTTCACCTTTCTATTCTATTCTAAGGAAGAGAAAGGAGGAGGTTGGGCTGCTGGGAACCACTCATTGCTCACCACTGTCTCATTTCACTGAAGAACCTCTGTCTCTGGGGCTGTACGTTCCTCCTGTGGGTGCTGGCATGAGTTTCTTGCAGTACTTTCCCCTCTTCTAGCAGCTTTTATCCAGTAATCTCAAAAGCACTTTCCAACTAATAATTAATTAAACTTCATAGACTCTTTGTTCAATTCCAGATTATTAATAAATTATACTTTATTATTTATAAATACATGCCATGTAATTTTTCTCTCCTGCTATTATCTTAAGCAGTCACTTATCCTATATTAGCACAGTTTAACTCTGATTTAGGAATCGTGCTCTTTGCCCTTTGGATGTTTGTCCATGCTGGAGGGCTGTTGCATAGGAAGAAGAGCAGTAGGAACAGGCCTGCCCATTTTATTGGTGATGTACATAACTTCACTGCAAGCTTTTACCAAAAGGAGTATTATTATTATTGCCCTTATCTACACCTCAAATTAGTCACATTACTTTTCCTCTCACCTTCAGCCCCCTGCTAACCCTATAATTCCTAGTCTGGAGCTTGTGCCTATTTCATTTCTCTCCTCTAAGATGCAACAAAGCTGCTTATCTGAGCCATGAGACCAGGGCCCGTTTCTGCTCTGCTCCCAAATCCACTTGACCTCAGCAGCCTCCAGCTTAGCCCCAGAACAGCACAAACTCACACTTTTTCTCCTGGTGCTGAACGTGGAGCAAACAGCAGCTGCCTGAACAGGATTTCATTTACCTGTAGGGCAAAAGCCATGCAGAGGGGAAGTAAACACGACTTAAGAGAAATAAGCCATTGAGATGGTTTCTCCAAAGCACCGTGTTCCTTTGCTCAAGAAAAGCCAGCGAGGGATGTGCTTAAGAGCATTAAAAGGGGGAAAGAGAGAGCAAGAGCCACCCCAGCACATACAGTAAATAGAGGGTGAAGGCCATTATTAGGGGACTGTCATCTCCCCTTGCAGATGCTCACAAAGAGAAGAGATAAGGGGAAAGCAAAGCGGAGAAGCTGATGAGCTGACCTGCCACAAACAGCCAGCATCTCTCCTATAACAGGCTGCACCCATCACACGTTGAGCTGCTGCTTACTGCTCCTCACCAAAACCACTTCTGGCACATCTGCATAGGGACACATCAACACTTTCACCAATAGCATCAATCTGACACACCTCTACTTGTTTATCCCTTCTGGGCTGGTAGGTCTCACCCATAACCTAAGATCAGGACATGTTTGAGAATGGGCAGCCATTTCCTGGTCTATTGGTGAAATACTAAAATAACCCCTGAACACACGTGAATGTGTTCTGAGCTCCTAGGAAGGCTTCTCCCAGCTTCTGGGTGGACCTGCAGGGTTAGAACCCAGATTTGCTTTGAAGATGTAGCAATGCTGGAAGCATAGCACATCCTTCACCATCTGCTAGCACCAGCCAAAGCAAGAAAGATAGAAAGGGCTACTGTATAATCAATGACTACACAGATGTTATAATTACGAAATAAACAAGAGAGTTTGGCTAAGCAAGTTATTATACCAAAAAGAAAATAGATAGAATGCTTACTTGTGTCCTGGGCTCGCTGCAAAACTCCACAGGAGGGATATCCAGAAGAGATCCTTCCCCACTTGTGGCCAGCTCTTAAATGGCTGTAGGAGAGGTGCAGCCAGGCTCCACCTGTTCCATCAGCACAGAATGGCCTTCAGCTGTGCTCCCAGGGCTGACCCAGTGCTTGCTCAGGTGATCAATCTGAGGTTCAGGCCGTGACTCAGCAGCTCCCATAGAGCTGCCCAGGGAGCAGGAGGGTCACCGTCCCTGGGGGGTGGTTCAGATCCATGGGGATGTGGCACTGAGGGATGTGGGCAGTGAGAACAATGAGGTGGGATGGGAATCTTCCTAAAAAAAATCCATCCTTTTTCCTGCATTAAAAAAAAAAAGGGGAGGGGGGGGAATTCAGCCTTTAACTTCCACATTTCCCAATTATTTCTGAATTAACATCAAGCCTGGAAAGAGAAAGGGGGGAGCAGCATTAAAAAGAAAGCAAAATGATGTGCTTCTCCTTAACTCAAGCAGCATCAGAGGGTTTTTCATGCTGCCTGTGACAGCTTCGAGCACCGCGCCAGCCAGGAGCGCTTCGTTAGCAGCTGCGCTTGTCGGCCGGTTAATAATTTAAAGTCAGCAGTGTCTGAAGCAAACTACTGCCTTGTGGAAGGCAGGAGGATGCCAGCCACAGCCCGCTCATTAATGCTGTTTAATTGGTATTTTCAGAAATTAATTGTTGGCAATGGACCTGACGGCACTGCGTGGTGTGGGGAAACTGAGGCAGGGAGGCGCTTCTGTGTCCTTCCACTCAGAGCTGTGCTCTGGGGCTGCCATTCGATGGGCTGATGGTCACACTGCATGGTCTTAGTGGTCTTCTCCAACCTCAGGGATTCTATGGGGATGCTCCTGAGGTTGGTTTTTCCTGGAGTGTTGAGGATGCTGAGAGGGAAGCCAAGCTCAGGTTGTCTCTTCTCCCTGCTTTGCTTCCTTTATTCTTTTGTTTTATTTCGATATAATTAACAGCTTTGCCTAATACAGTATTAATTCATTGTGTCATTGCATTAATTAGCATTAAAGAGACCCTTACATCGTTGGATGTAAGGGAAGGAGAGCAGATCCAGCAGCAAAGTCAGAGACATCTTTGCTATCAGAGCACGACACGAAGGCAGAAGACAAGCAGCCAATTTGACAGCACCCAAAAAAAGCCATTTCCTGGTGGTGCCACTGACCAAAAATGCTCTGTTCAAGGGGGGGGAAAAAGGCAAATGCTTGGATTCCCTGCTTGGTGCTCCTGTTTGCTGATAAATAGGAACTTTTGGGCTTCTTCAGCAGCACTGCTCAAAGCCCTTCTCTCCTCAGATCCCCTTCCACCGGGTGCTGCAATCCCCACCGTGCACAAATACATAAATAAAGGCAGAATAACTTTTAATATCATTACCCAAACTGACACCGTGACTTTAAACGGAATAAAATCAATGCAATGCTGAGGCATCTCTCAGCTCTATTGACAGCACTGGCTGGTGATTTTTCCCCTTGAACTAGCAGAATAAAAACTCAAAGCTGCATTAGTTTTTTTTTAATTAAGACTCCAGCATTATCAGGCTCTACAAGGCAGAGCCAATGCACAGATGAATTACCATTTAATTAAGCTTTCCAAGAAACTTTTGAAGACTGGAGATTAAGTGTGGGCTCTGATTTCTTGCAGTTCTTTTTTTTTTTCTTCCAATGGAAGTTTTAATTGTTTTCCCTCCACTTGATAAACAAGAATAATAATACAAAGACTTATCTGCTAGATATATCTCGCTGATTTTCCATTTTAAGAGCATCCTGGCTGTACAGATGTATACACAGAGAGGTGCAGTGTGAAGATGTGAGAGCAGAGGTTTATTTCTGCCTGGCCATGAGAGCTGAGCCCTGACTGTCACCGGGCTGAAAAGGCAGCACAAAACATCCAAGGAGTCAGCCCACAAACGCAGGGATGAATGGAGGGTTTAAGGAAGAAATCCCTGCATACTACTTGCATTTAATATCTTTATTTCAGCTGTCGGGTGGTCTGAGATGCAGGAAGGGACAGAGGGTGGAATTACACTGCCTGTCCCTGGGTGTAGGGCAGGGCATGGCAAAGCTTAGAGATACAGAGCCTGTCCCTGGAGGGCATTTACTGATGGGTTTTTGCTTGCCAGCTTTTCCCTGCTGGTGTTTTCCAGTTCAGTATGAATGTGTGTGTGCTTCAGAGCCCACCTTTGTTCTATACCTATGTTTAGGCCCAATGGCAAAATGCCTTTTTAATCCCATTACTGGCTCAGTTAAAAAGTATCCAGAAAAGCAAAACATAGAAATGATAAGAATTAAAAATCACTCACAAATGCCAGGGAAACCCTCCTGGCTCCAGGCTCCCACGTTTTGCTCCTTCCCACTGTTTTCCCTATAAAACACACTTGACCTGTGCTGGGAAAAAAGTGAGAAATACTTTGAATAACAACTCAAGTAATGCAGGAAACAAAGACAGCAGTGTGGAGTAGCTAAACGCTATATGCAGTGATCAAGAATGTTTGACACTGATTTCAGACCCTCCCTGAGCCTCTTGGGGGGCACAGGGAGATCTGTGCATCCTTTTGGAGCACCTGCAGACAGATCTCACTTTGTCCTCACAGGGGAAAGCCCTGCAAGAGGGCTGCAGGCAGAAAGAGATGCTCAGACTCCTGGTAAGGAGGAAAGTAGCACTGATGGGGGAGGAGGCTGTAAGCAGGAGACCTGGTGGGCTGCTCTGTGCCAATCAGTGCTATGCACTCAGGCATGTGCTAACACACGTGCTAATGCAGGTGCCCAAACACACACTGATATATGCTTCGAGCTGCACTCCTGCACACACCAAGAGCTGCACAAAGCCCCCTCTCAACCCCCTGCCAGCACCTTCCCTCTGTGCCCAGCCTTTTTTGGGTACCTGCTCTGCTGAAATGCAAAAGCCCAAACATGGGAAAGGAAGGGCCTGCAGGAGAAGGGGGGAGGTTTTCTTCTCCATGCTCCATATCTCCATTTGTTTGATCCTCAAACAAATTTTCCTCTTTATGAGCCACACTTTTCCACAAAGAAAAGAGACCCCGCCCGACCGACGCCCTGCACCAGATAAACAGGTGTAAGAAATCTGAGTGATGCAGCTCCCAAAAAAGATGCAGCTCCCAAAAAGAAAAAATCCGGTGATGTTGATACCCGTTGTTTTGGCCCCGAAGCCCAGCTCTGCCCACCGAGGGCTCGCAAAGCTGCGGCTGCAGTGCCACCTCCCGGTGCGCGGGGCCAGCGCAACCCCGCACGGAGCTGCCCCGCAGCAATGAGAGGCTCACGGTTTAGGAAGTGACCCCTCAGGAGGAGGAAGGCATCGTCCTGGCCGGGCTGTGAGCTCAAAATAAAAAATAATAACAAAAGAACGCCGTCATCTCGTAGAAACGCCCGGTTTCTCACACCGTTCTGCAGTGAGAAATTCTTATGGAAAGAGAGATCGTGCGGACTTTCATCTACAATTAAAAAGGGATTTAAAAGCACTGCAAGTAGTTGAGTACTCCTTTCTCCAACCTCTCCGCAGCGCTGAAAAGGGACGGCGCCGGAGCCGCAGCTGTGCGAGCTGCAGATGGGAGCAGTGGTAGCACATCTCTCACAGCATGGAACAACCCCAAACCTCACCTCCGTGGTCAGCAGTGACAAAAGACACCCTTGGTATTTTCATAACCCTTTTCTCCTCCTTTTTTTTTATCCCAGAGCTGAAGAACGGTAACAAAAAATGCATTACAGTGCAGACCTGGAGGTGGCAGTGCAGCCCTTGGAATGCACACGCAGCTTCTCCGGCCCCTTCCTGGTGGTGCCAGAAGCAGATCCCAGTGCCCAACATTTTACCCGCATCCTAAGGCGGCTTTCTTCGCGTTCCCCGCGGATCTCGAGATGAGAACGTGCAGGTGATGCAGAAAGGGCTCTGCTCCCGGCGCTGCTCCCCTCCTGCAGAGCTTCTCCAAGCTCAGCACCCCCAGGCACTACTTCCCTCCTCACCTGTATCGGTATCAGACGTGTTCCATGCACAAACCTCCTTCATCCCATGCAGCTGTCAGTGGGTACCAGGCAGTCCTCCGAGCAAACCAAACGTGTCCTGCTGAAGACCTCCGACCCCCCTGCAGCCCGAGTGAAGCTGTCAGGGGCTGCGTTGTGCTGTGGGACAAACAATGTCAGGTCAGATGGCCGTTGCATAAGAAAAGCCATTAACACCAAAAACTGACTTCCAGCCTTCGTGCCCCACAGCCACCACCATCAGATGATTTAACATAATGATTTTTAAACTGGGGGCAGTGATTTGGCCAAGACTTTTTAGTGAATTCCACCTCTTTTTCACTTCCCTGAGGTCAAATCTTAATTTTCTGACTTTACAGGCTTCACGAGCACATCTGAGACCCCTGTCTGCATCTCCTTTAGAAACCCCAACGTGCTGCAGCATGCAAATAGGAACACTCCTATTACCAAACCATTAGTAAAAAAAATCTCATTTGAGGCTACTTAGGACAGGAGCGAGCTCTCCTCTTCCCCATGACCCCACAGCTCTGGAGGGCTCAGGGTTTATCCTGCACAGTAATGCATCTTTTTGTTACTGTTTTTCAGCTCTGGGATGAAAAAGGAGGAGGGGGAAAAGGCTTATGAAAATATCAAAGTGTCTTTTGTCACTGCTGACCACGGAGGTGAGGTTTGGGGTTGTTCCATGCTGTGAGAGGTGTGCTACCACTGCTCCCATCTGCAGCTCCTTCCCTGCCCCATACCCAAATATGACAAAGTGTGAATGAATCTCTCCAGGAACGCTGCTTCCCTCCTACACTTTGCTTTTAAAATGCAAAAAGAAAAGTGAAACATGCTCCGCCCCTTCATCAGTGCTTGCAAAGGGGGAATTTGCTCAGCTTTAGTCAAATTAATGCATTTCCTTCCTCATACAACTTCCAAGCCCACCCTCACCTGGGCCTCCAAAGCCCTTCTCCCATGGGCAGGTAGAAGCCATCAGTACCAAAAGAGGCAAAAATCTCCTTCTCACAGGATGCAGGGAGGAGGGGGAAAGGTGTCAAGATGCCATATTATTTCACACTGCCCCCAGCACCTCCCACCTTCCTGCCCTGTAATGAGTCCAGCATGGCTTTAGCCCATCAGCAGAAAAGCAGAGGGAGGCTTTCATGCTGCCCACTCCTCAGAAGAATAATGGGAATAACAATTTTGGGGTGATTTCCATAACCTATTGCCCCAGAGAAAGTAGTACCAACCTTTGATGCCCTCTAGCAGCAGCCTGCAAGCACAGCCCTCTCCCACGAGATAAAAGAGGATGGGATCTGGTAGCAGTCCTGGTGTCAACCCAGAAAGTTTGCTGAATTTCTCCCTCTTCTTCCTCAGTGTTGTCCTTACATGTTTCAGTTTCTGCCACTTGCTGTGCTGCAAAGCTCCTGCTGGTTGCAAGCTCCCCTTGCTCCCTGCTGGAAACACACCCCACCAGCGCCAGTGTTTAGATCCAGCCAAGAAAACTGAGTAAGAAATGCAATGGAGTGAAGTAAAAAGAAATGGAAGAAATCTTCCCTGGCCTCTGGCTGTCCTGATTTGTGGAGCCACAATGCTGAGCACAAAGCAGAGCACTGCAGCATCCTGCTCTGCCCAGAAGCCCACCCAGCAAACAGTGCCTCTTCATCAGCGCCCAGCTGCTCTGGTCAGCAGCACACGGCTGCTTTGAAGCTCCCTGATTACCACCTGCCCATGGGGCTCCTGGGCAAAGCCCTGAGTGGAGGAGGTGGCCCCAGTGCTGCAGACCCTTCTCTGTTGCATTGAGTTGGAGCTTGGAAGTGAGAGGTTTTTTTTTTTTCTTGGCAAAAATAATAATTAAAAAACACACAATTAAATGAAATCTTTGACTTGCAAAAGCAGCCCTGCACTTGGCAAAACAGAGCTGCTTAATGAATTCCCCATCCACTGAGGTTTACTGGTTGGGGTAAACTTCCTTCTGGCTAATTACTGAAGTCAAATTAATTTATGCATAAATTACTACATGGTTGTGTTTATTCCCGTTTACAGCCAAGTTTGCTGTGAGCTGATGTAACATGGGCGTAAATCAGCCCAGTCCCAAGCAAAACCATTCCCTGCTGGGGATGCTTAGGGGAGCACACGTAGCACCTTCCTCCATCCCATCCTCTACCTGCAGACACCAGCACAGTGCAGTGCTCCTGGATCCATCAGGGGAGCTTTTGGGGAGGGCAACCCTGCTTTCAGATCTCTTCTTCCCTTAATCCAAACTAAGTTCCCCTTACAGAAAAGTCTTAACCCTTCCTGCGTGCTTTTCCCCAATAGCTACAAGTATTTTGCATAGATATTACATAAAACAAGCAGACAAACGTAGTCCCATATTTATACACATCTCTGCAGAGTCACTCTTCTGGGGAAGGAGTTTCAATCTGAAGTGACACAAGCACAGGTGGATGGAAAGTCGCCCTGGCAGACGTGCATGTTTTGTGAGAGAAAGGATGTGGTTTATATTAAGCCACAAGAAATCCCCTGGCTTCGGTCTGCAAATCCTTTCTGCAGTTCCCATTTTTTCATTCCTGATCAACAGCCTTTGCAATAAAAACCTCAAATCAGTGTTTCCATGGGACCCACAATTACATTCCCACCTAGAGGAAGATGCCTCAGCACCACTGTGATGGCCATAAGGATTTTTGGTACAGATTTCTCTGGTTTGAGGTCATCCTCCCAACTTCTGCAACCACCTCACTCCCTCCCTTCAAGGCAAGGCACTGATGCATGGTGAGCTGAGAGATGCACCTCTGACAGCCTCTGCCTTCCCAAAAGCCAAATGCTTTTACCTCTTCTGGCTCTGCTTGGAGGGGAGGAAATACCGAGTGGTCACCATCCTCACCAGCAGTATGACCTGAGCTGAACCCCAGCACTGATAACCGCCTCCTCACCCACATCCTTTGGGCTGCTGCTTCTCCTTTCTTACCCTACTCGAGGTTAATCATGTTATCAACAACAGAGGTGCACCCAGGCATGACCGGAATCAGGGATTCAGGCTTTAACGAAGGGGTTGTACACAGCAAAAGCCTCCAGCAGCCTGGAGGCTTTTTGTTGTATTTCAAGTGCTGCTAATTCAGTCGGCTGCTTTGGGGCTTTACTATGATATCTGTAAGCCCCCAGGATCCAGCCATAAAATATAGAGGCTGTAAATCAGAGGTCCCATCACGCAGCACTTCTCCGCTTCTCCCTCCGTAAATCAAAGCCAGTTTTGGGGGGAGTTCTGTTGGTTTTCTGCTGTTTGAATTCAGCTTAGTGATGGCAGGGTCACAGCTCTGGGGAAACATACTGGATAGAAACACCATAGAACCACAGAATCACTGAGGTCAGGAAAGACTTTTCAGATCCTCAGCCCCACTGTGCACACTGACCGTATCCCTGAGCATCACATCCCCACATTTCGGAACAGATCCATGCACGGTGACCCCACCAGTCCCTGGGCAGCCTCTGAGTCTTGGATTGAGAATAACTGAGCAGGAGGGCTCCAACAGGGGCTAAAGGTAGGCATAGTGGAGGGTCTGCCTTTCAACCTCCTTCAGCTTGGGCAGAAGAGCAATCCCTAACATCTGAGTCCAGTTCCATCACTGCCCATATGCCAAAAATGCCATGAAAAAAACCACCATGAATTGGGTTTAAAAGTGAGCATTAATCCCATGTTAATCCAGTTTCATTCCTTATTATTTGTAGCACTGTATGTTCTGGGACAAAAACTAAGGGAGGCAAAAAAGCAAGAAAGCAAGAAAGCAAGAGATCATATGGAAGCAATTAGCAGAAACTTCATTCAAAAAAACATTAAGGTGCTTGTAGCATTAAGGCTCAAGTGATCTGTACTCTGGGACCATAATTCACTGACACTTAATAGCATTTACCCTGCAGATGTGCATTTTATGCAGAAATATCAGCTTACCGCTTTGAAAAATTAACCTATTGAAGGCTGTCAAGTTCTGGACACACTCAGGGGAGTATGAGACATTGGCTATGCAGCCTTCTTTTTCACCTATGGGTTTGGGGATAGATGGGTTAATGGGGTATTTTAATGGAAGCAAGAGGTGGTTGTACCCTTTGTTGGACAAGGAAGGAAACTTCCCTTGTAAAATCCACCCTGATTCAGATGGGCATCAGAGTGCACAATGTTTGAGCCTTGATGGCAGCCTTCTCCCCTTCCCCCACAGCAAGGCTGAAATAAGTGCTGTGCTGCCCCGTGGGACAGCAGTTGTAATTTCCAATTGGTCTTAGAGCACAGGCTGCCTCTCTGGGGAGAGCTGCGTGCAGCTTTGCTCAGCAAGGCATTATTTGGGGATGAATTATTACCTGCCATCCGAAAGCAAAGGCGGTGGGGATGCTCTAAGCCCCTGCGGAGCCCTAGGGGGTCCACTGAATCTCAGCTGAGAGAGTTCAGATGCTGCTAAAACACAGAGCAGGATGAGGTCAGAGCCACTTCACCGCTGGAGTTGATGGAAAGGTGTAAAATAGGGAAGAAAAAGTGGAGTTGGGCTCATCTGCTCCTCTTCTGCTCACCCCATACATTCTGCTTCCAGGAATTTTGCAAAGTGAATGTATCCTACACAGCCTATGCTGGATGCATTGATGTGCTGTGTCTGTGGAATGCCATTTATTTTTGCCTGAGGTGTGTGTGACAAAGCATCAATTTCTCCACCTAGATGAATAAACAGCCCTGTGTTCCAGTGTCGTCTCTGAGGACACCAACGGTTTTAGGAGGCAACAGGGGGAGGCAGTAGGGCTGCATCCAGACCCCTTTCCTTGGAGCAGCCCAACGCTGCTCCTCAGAGCAGGGCCACAAGCAGAGCTGTGCCCACAGATTCCCAGCCCCTGGCACACCAGCCCTGTTGACACTGGGACGTTTTTCAACACTACACCCCAAGGGATGGCTTTGGGAATAGAAACGGTGGAAAAGCGCTCAGCACCATTCCCTGGTGGCACTGAGGACACACCAGTGAGTGGGAATGCTCATCAGACACATCTGGGGGACCTGTGGAGTTACTGTATTCCACCTGGGGTTGTTCTGTAGCTCCCCTTGGTGCAGAAAGAGTCCTCCAGGATTGCTCTGGTGCTCACATGGCGGGACGTGAATGCATCCAGCATGAATGCAGAGCCAGGAGCTTGCTGTGATTTGGGCTTTTCCAACTGCAGAACATGGAAAAGAACATTGTTAATCCCCAGCCCACACCTGCTGCCTCTCTTAACATTTTAGGGTGAAAACATTCTTTATTAGAGTATTAATAAATGATCTTACTTTACTTGGCAGCCATGCCTTCGTGTCAACCAAACCCTACAGAAAACAGCCCCAGAAATAAACACATACCCTCCATCCAGCCAGTGCCATCAGTGATGGGCTTAGCAAAAACACGAAGCACCTCCACAGTAGGTCTGTGTTTTCCAAATACAGCTTCAAGCAAAGAGCATAACACATATATAACCCCCCGAGCTGCCATAAACCTTCAACATCGTCAGAATCAAAGGACTTTGCAGGGCAAGCAGTTAGCAGGCTGCCACGGACTGAAAGCTCACTTTGCAATGAAGGGGAAAAAAAAGGAAGAAAAAAAGTCTCTCGCAGTCCTGGGAATGAATTAGGAAGGTAAAACTCAAGTTCTCTCTGAATGCATTTCAATTACGGAGGTGAGCGCTGCTCACACGCACCGCAGGGACTCGGAGTTATTTATTCAGCCTTGTAGATCACGGGCTTTTCTTAGCGGGAGTTTGGAGCAGGATCTTGTCTTCCCCATCTCTTTGAAGAACAATAAGGAATGGGAAAAGAAAGGTCTTTTTTTGTTGTTGTTTTTGAAGGGCACGTATTTAATCTTATCAGAGGCAGGCAGGACAATAACAGGAAAGGGTAGGGAAGCCTCGCCAGGGATGGGGAGGGAAGGGCAGGGAGTGAAGAGGGGTTAAAAGCAGAATGCAGCCCTGCCCCCAGGGAATCACTAATCAGAGGCTGTGGGGCTGAAATTTATCCTGGCAAAACACCATCGGAGCCACACAATGAGAAAGCCAATTCTGTGCAGACAGGTTAGTAATGAGGAAGGCAGGCAAAAGATGAAAGGATATTTCCCCTCCTGCTTGCTCAAATATTCACCTAATTTCAGCAAGCTGAGTGCTATGCTATGCCGGCTCAGGGACAGGAATCACAGAATCATTAAGGTTGGGAAACACCTTCAAGGTCATCAAATCCAACCATCAACCCGTCCTCACCATGTCCGTTGTAAAGGGGCAGAAATGCAGCAACGAGAGCAGAGCAGGAAGGTCCCAGGTGGGAGCAAATGGGGACTTGCTCAAATGCAACAAACTGTGGAAAGAGAAAGAGAAGAAAGGAAAAAGAAGTCTGTACTTCACGGCTGTATTTAGCACTGAATAAATATGTGCCTCCACTGCCCGAACTGAAATTGCATAGGGATGTCTTTGCCTGCTGCTTGGGTTGATGGCTTTAACTGCTGGAATGCTAACGGCAAAATCAGATTCGGCGTCTCCCCGGCCTCCCTCAGAGGCACTGCACCATTAGCGTGTCAACATCTTGCTTTATTGACAGTATCTTTTAATTGCACAGCCACACAAATCCCATCAGCGAGATCTCCAAGACCTGAGATCAGTGCTTCTTCATGAATATTTTACTGGCGTTTTTATTGCACATGTCAGAAAAATCAAGAAGAAACGGGAAGAAAACAAGTGATTAAAGACTTTGAAAATGAAGGAGGGAAGGTAAAGAGAGAA